ATGGGGCTTTCAGCCCTCTCTAAGCGGTTTACAGAGTCAGCATATCGCCAAACATTCTGGTGTTGTTTCTAGCCTAATCTTTATTGCCCTGCTTACAGAAACTGCCCCTCCGGTTAACCCTTATGACATTGTAACAGCTAAGGCGAAGCGCCCATCGATGTGAGTGATGTTGATTTGGCCATGCCCATTCAGTCACATGACCACTGAGCCACGCCTACCCAGCTGGTCATTAGGGCAGAGAACCAGTTGTTAAGTTATTCTAATCCCACCACTGCCCCAACCCAAATTTGGCTACAGCAGCCAGACCAAGGGTGTTAAACTCGATTTCATTGAGGCCTTCATAGGGTTGTGTTTGACCTCGGGGGGGGGGGGCTGGATGGGCATGACTTGGGTGGCCATGGCTACAGTGGCCATGCCAGCTTGATATCACTTGTGTCAGGGGGCACTTGTGGTCTGATCCTCCTGCAGCCCTCTATCAGCGTGCGGCCCTCCTGAGCTCCGTTTTCACTGGCAGAGGCACCACGGGCCAATCCTTCACTATTTCCCTGTGGGCCAGATCTCAGCACCCCGTAGGCCGGATCTGGCCCCCGGGCCTTGACTTTGACACTCCTGAGCTGGACGATAAGCCCTCATTATTATATAGTGAGTATGGGTGGGCATGTTGGCTGACCCACGCTAAAGCTTGTAGCCCAAGCATGAGAGTTTATTTGTTTATTTAACAAAACATAAATGGCCATCCAACTCACACTCAATATGAAAACAATAAAAAGGCAATAACACACCACCACCCCCTAAACCTTCCTGGCGACAACCGTGTGAAAAATGGTCATAAGTCATTTTTTAGTGGCGTTGTAACTTTGATTACTAAAGGAATTGTTGTAAATCAAGGATTACCCGTATTTTGGGGATAGGTTTTTTTGTTTAGTTAAAAAAAAATCCTTGCAATTCAATCTCAAACTTATTTCCAGTAACAAGCCACATCCAGAGGACACGGAGCGTTACTTTCAGGCATGGGCTGCTATGGGTTCGCCCGGGTTCGGGAGAACCTGTAGCTAACATTATGGCCGGTTTGGAGAACCTCCAAATCCCACCTCTGGCTGGCCCCACCCACCCCACCCCTTTCAGGAATCTCCACATGGCCCATTTTGGATGCGAGGTAAGTGGAGGGCCCGTGTCGAGGCTCGGGGGGGGGGGGGAAACGAGCCTCAGGATGTTCCGGAAGGCCGGAAACAGGCCCAGGAGGCAAGAATGAAGGACAGATTTAGGGCATGTTGGGGGGAGAGAAACTGCGGAGATCGGGGAAGGCACGGGAGGCAGGATTGGAGGAGAAAACTAGGGTGCGCTGGGGAGGGTGGAGAGAAAGGTAGGGCACACTGAGAGAGGGGGAACTGCAGAGATCGAGGAAGCTCCCACCCCCACACATGCACGGCAGAGACCCAAAGACCAGTGGGAGGCACATGCACATGTGTGATAGAGCTGGGCTGGGGCAATGGCTGGCGTGCCCATAGAGGTCTCTGCGTGCCACCTGTGCCATAGGTTCGCCATCACGGGTCTATTCCAATACTACTGATCATCAGATTTTGGTATACTTTATATATATATGACAATTCACAAATGCTTCATTCAAGTACAAAATTCACCCTAAAATAACCATTTTGCTGGTTGTTTCCTGAAATCCAGGCTGAGGTCAATGGGTGCCATTACAAAAAAATTAACACTAGAAATTTTCAGCATTCAAAGATTTTCTCCATTGATTCACCTGGGCCATTCTAAGAACACTGAAACTGTGAAATGGAGGCACCACAGTTTTAATCCGTTTTGTAAAGCACTTAGTAAAGATGTGGTTTCAGGAAGGGGGGGGCAGGGGAAATAATCCACAACATTGTTGGCTTAATTCTTTCTCTCTTTCACAGCATGACTCCGTCACTGGTTTAAGCCATGGGCAGGTCATAGGAAGCTGGGTATCTGCCGGTCACGTGATAATAAATCTGTGGAATGGAAACAAAAAAGCAGAAATTAAAATCCGGATAATAAAACTGGCAAATTATGGGTAGGTTAATGCAAAGATGGACCCAGTGGATAGACACTTAATTATTCACACTGATTAAGAGCATGCCTTATCTAAAGCCATTCTTCTTTAAATGGGGAATATGGGCTGATACTATTTTTTTCACCTGCTGTACTCCATCTTACATTTATCCGGCAATTTTCTATCTGTCTCCATGGAAAATGGAATATACAGGACTCACTCCAATTTACAATAATCATGCACAGTTAGACTAAAAGTAAAGGTAAACGGAACATTTTTTCCCCTGTCCAGTTGTGTCCAACTCTAGAAGACAGTTCTCTTCTCGGTTTCTTAGCTGAGGGAGTCAAGCGTTGTCTGAAGACACTTCAGACACCCGTCCTGTGGCCAGCATGACTATTTCACAAGCCGCACTGAATGCTGTTACCTTCCCACTGAAATGGTATCTTTTTATCTACTTGCAATTGCATGCTTTTGAACTGGGCAGGAACTGAGGCAAGTAATGGGAGCTCACCCCATCACGCGGTTCTCAAGTCTCAAACCCAGGTGGTCATCTTTCCAGCTGACAAGTTTAACCCTTTAACCACTGAGCCCCCTAAAGTGAGGTTACCGTATTTTTCAGAGTATAAGATGCACCAGAGTATAAGATGCACGAAAGTCTTGAAGAGGCAAATTTTTTTAAAAAAAGGTTTTGCACTTTGCAAACCTCCCAAAAACAGCCTGTTTTTCATGAATTTTTTTTTCCAAAAAAAAAGGGCATGAATAGGCTTTAGAAGGCTTGTAGGGTGCTTCTGCGGGGCAGGGCAGAAACGAGCAAAGAACAGCCCATTTTTGTCAAAAAAAAAGGGCATGGATAGCTTTTAGAAGGCTTATAGAATGCTCCTAGGGACTGGGCAGAATGGAGGGAAAAAATGGGCCATTTTTTGTGCATTTCTGCCCTCCCCAGCCCCCAGGAGCACTCTGAAAGCCTCCTAAAAGTTACACACAGCCATTTTGGTGAAGGGGGAGGGGTTTCAGGTGGCAAAAATTGCTGTATTCAGTGTATAAGATTTCAGCCTCTTCTGTGAGGAAAAAAGGTGTGTCTTATACTCCGAAAAATACGGTAGCTTACTCCAACCTGAGGTTCTGAAGATATACTGATTTACAAGCTTCCTCACTTTCATCCGTTGTCCTGGTTGGGATATTTCAAGGTTGGTTTCCCTGATGCCAAACCAGCGACTTAATGTCTACACTAATCGGGCTGGGAGTAAAACAGAGCTTGCCACTTGATTTTGAGCCTTATCTAAGGGGCACTTACACATACACACACACCCATACATACAAACATAAATATGTAGGTCTCTAGTTATTCGGGTTTTCTCCCGCGTAAAATTGGACGCGGGAGAAAACCTGAATAACTAGAGACCTACATACTAACACCCGCGAAAACCTCAGAAAACAAACATAAATATATACATACACACCCATACACAAACAGATAGACAGACAGGCAGACAGACAGACACACAGACACACACACAGAGTATATATCAGAGGTGATATTCTGCCGGTAAACCAGTAGCAGCAGCAGCGGCAGGCTCCGCCCACAAGGATGCTTTGCGCATGCATACACAAACACACGTATATAAATATATACATACTCAGACACACACACATATATGTACACATACACACCCAGACACACACACACACATACGAAGGTCGTGAAAGAGGATGTGCGCGTCCCAGACAATCCTATGGACCCTAATAACTTAATGACCAAAATTCCAGGCTCTTCTGTGGTCATAAATCAAGAACTACCGGTATTGCTTCCTCCCTAGAAGTCAAGAGGCTGTCCTGGGGTTTTTGACCGCTGAAACCCTCTCCATTTCTGGACTGCTTTATTAATCCGAGCAAATACATTTTTCTATTCACCCAACAATTGTGCTGTGTTAGCCCAGATCAAGGGTTAAACGTATTGAAGTAAGTTGAACCTTCCCACTGCTGAAAGGCAGCGCTTCGAACCTCACCTGTTTTTCAATGTCTCCCAGCAAAGTACTGGCCCCCAAGCGAAAGAGTTCCGGCTTCAGCCATTCCTCTCCCAATTCCTCCTTCATCAGGGAAAGCCAGATCAAGGCCTCCTTGGCTTTGCGAATGCCTCCTGCAGGTTTGAATCCAACCTTAGGAAAGAAATTTTTTTTTTGAAAAAAAAAAAAAAGAACTATGATGTTAGGCTCCAAAGAAGTCATTGCAGATGCACAGCAAAATGGGAATTTGCATATAAATGCATACATCTATCTAGACAGTGTGTATGTATGAGGGCGTGTGTGTGTGTCTAATTTAGAGAAGGAATTTTTTTCCTGCCTTCCCTCTCCCAAATGCAGGTGCACAAAGTGGCTTATAGGGTAATAAAATACAGTATAATGACAATAAGAAACACACTGCTAAATAAAAGAAAAATCACTAAAAATATAAATGGAAGCATAGAGCAAAACTTGAAAACCATGGAGCCCCAGACATCTGGTGAGGGAGAGATATTGCATGTATTATACGAGCACTAAAAGCCTCAAAGCCAATTTGGGGGAAACCGGAGAGCTTACTTTTCAAGAAGAAATATCTTTCTAATATTACAAATCTTGAAAAATTGGCATAGCAGGTTAGCTGAGAAGAGGTATTTAAATGCAACGAATAAAACTGTGGTAAATTTAAAAGATTTGGAATGAACTATATATTAAAATATACCAGGACACTCAGTGGCTAAGACTAGTAGGCTAGTGATCAGATCAATTCAATTCAGAGAGCCAGTTCAGTGATTAAGGTAGCAGGCTAGAACCCAGAAACCTGTGAGTCTACTCCCCCATTAAGCATGAAGCCCGCTATGTAACCTTGGGCCAGTCACTTCCTCTCAGCCTTAGGAAGAAGGCAATGGCAAATTACTTCCATTAATCTCACCAAGAAAGTTGTAGGGAATTGTCCATGCAATCACCAGGAATCCATACTGACTTGAAAGCACAGAACAAGCCAAATTCAATTTATGATATATAAAGCCTTAGGCAGTGTGGTTCTAGGAAGGTCTGATGAATATCTCACCCTCAGGAGAATAACAGAGTTGGAAGGGACCTTGGAGGTCTTCTAGTCCAACCCCCTGCCCAGGCAGGAAACCCTACACCACTTCAGACAAATGGTTGTCCAACATCTTCTTAAAACCTTTCAGTGTTGGAGCATTCACAACTTCGGGAGGCAAGTTGTTCCACTGATTAATTGTTCTAATAGTACATTATGCCTATATTATATATGTAGCAACTCAACTAGTAAGGGCTTGGAACTTGACCTCAATTCCTTTCGCCACCTGAAGCATTCACATCCCCACAAATAATTCCATTTCTCCTTTCCCCAAACAAGCCATTATCCATAGTGGGATATTTTTGTCCTAGAACCAGAAAAGATTTGGCTACTATTCCCATGCTGTTTTACAGCATTTCATTATTTTGTTTAATAAGTTCATCTCTCAGACTTTTTTTTTCTCATCACCTTGTATTATTAGAAGTAATAAGTTTCTCTGGGCTAGGAATTCCCCAACAGAAAAACCAATTTGTGTGTGTCCTTCGCTATTGACAGGGACAAAAAGAGAAGTTTATTTCCTATTATGCCAAATACTTTTTATATTGCAGTGACAGCTTATCATTCAATGAATGTTAGTTTGCAGCCCCCTTCCATCCTTGGGAGAGGTTTAATTTCTGCATTAACCTGTTTTTACTAGCCAATGCGTTAGCAGAAAAGCATCTGTGTGGGAGCCGAAATTGGTTTGTTAAAGAAAGCATTTAGAAATCTCTTGTCAATGATAAAAATGGTATTTGTTGTAAAATTTCCCAAGAAGCCTGATTCATAATAAGTGACCCAATATTGTAATACAAAAACCAGTAATTTATTAACAGCTTCATTAGGTATTCTTCATTAGGCAATTCTGATTCGCAGCCATTTCTTTTGCTTTGTCTATCTGCTTCTGACCTTTACCCCTTTTCCTTTCCTCCCCTCACTCTGTGTCATAAATCACATTGCCCAATAAATACACCCATCTCAAACCAGCTACTGTAATCTGAGATGCCAAAGGTATGTATGGAATGTCAACACGGGGAGTTGACATGTCTAATAAAAGGATATAGACTGGGTTTACACGTGTTTTTCATTATTATTGTTTTCAGAGTGAGCACACGCACTGGATTTTTTGGGTTATGTTGTGGCCCGCCAGCAGATAGCGGAACTGGCAGCAGAGTCAGACACTGAGGAGGTTGGGGAGGAACATGGGCCAGTCCTGGAGTCTGGGGAAGGCTCTGATGAGGCCTCTGTGTTGGAGGCAGAGAGCGGGCCAGAGCCGTATGCCAGTTATCAGCTGCCTTCAGAGTCAGGCATCAGTGAGGCAGGCGAATAGCTGGAGCCTGTTCCCAGTGTGTGCATGCTCAGAGTTGCCAGACGAAGGGAACAGCTAAGGAACAAGGGCAGATTTGGGAGTATGGCCACAGGTGGACGATGAATAGCCCCACCCTGAGAACATAAAAGAGGAGTGAAAGGGGAGTGAAGTTTGCAGGAGTTAGTTCGAATTAGTTCGGTTAATTGGTTCGTGACTCTCTCCTTGCCAAGTTTTGCAAAGATCGGCCTGGCAGCTCTCCAAGCAGGATAAGGTCTGTGACTGTAAATCCTCCCTTGAAAGACTTTGCTGGATGTGAATGAGCAGAATTCACAGTAAATTAATAAAAGGTGTGTTTTTTTTCAGGATAAGGAGTTTGCTTCATGCTCTTGGGAAGCCTA